AGAGGAAAAGAGAGAAGATAAAAGGGGAGGCAATAAAAGAAGATAAATTGGTTCAATAAGATATATTTTATTTGCCAGAAAGGTTAGAAAGTACAAATCCAGCACTGAACTGCATAAAGTAAGATGTGGAGACACTTTGAATACATGGCCATGGACAAAAAGTTAGTATGCAAATGCCTCCCAACTGCTTGGCCCAACAATTCAGATAGGAAAACTTTATCTACACTTTTGTTTGGGAAATTGGGTTGAGGGTTAAGCCTAGAAATTATTCCTTCTGATAAGAGGTGAAGAGTGTTTATGAAGAATTTGCAAGAGGCAAACACCACCTCCCAGATGATAATCATGTTCTAAGGCTTGGGCCCTATTAGTCAAGATAATGACTGTACTTGTAAGCGTTCATAGGGTCTGACCTGCTGGCAAGTCTTAGTCTGTCTAGGACACTTTTTCAAAAGGCAGCACAGATGTTGGGCTATATTCATGATACCACATCTAAAGCAGCAGAACTGTTTGGTAAAATACAAATCCCTTGGCTAATTCCAAATCTACCAAATCAGGCTGAGATCACTCAGCATACAGAGGGAGGAATGCTTAAATGATCCCTGTGTGCCCTGAAAATAGTTTTCTCTGTACTAAACTCTGGATGTGGTGAGACTTAAGACATAAAAACACAGTTAGGTTCAAATTTATAATAACAAAATAAAAGCATGAACAAGACACATGTTTAAACCAAGTGATTCTCTTTCTAAATAATAAAATAACAAGCATTAATTCACATGAACTACATATAAATAACAAGACATACATATTACTTTCTCTTCTAATTTTGGCTTTGAGAATTATTAGTTTTGTGATTTGGGGGTGCATTTTCCCTGTCTGAATCATCCTAAAAGTCTTGAGAACCTGGTAATAATCCAAAATACAACTTTACTGACCCTTTCCTCTTTCACTGGACTCAGGGGTAAATACACACACACACACACACACACACATAATTGATTCATGGGCTGTTCATCATTGGTGTTCCAAAATTTCCTCCATACAACTAAGAAAGTAACCTAAAGTCAAATAGAATTCATACACCTAAATCATATTTATAAAATTCTAAGTGTTTAAATTGTGCATTGACTGTGATTTAACTGTGAAATATTCAAAGGGGGTCTAATCTTAACAATATCCTGACAAAAGTAAGTAAACTTTCAACTTGGATCAGTGATGTGTGAGGCAGCTGCATTTCCCCCACCCCAGTGCTGTGACCTATCCCAAATACATTGCATTTTGATATTTTGATCCATAAATCCACAACAAATACCTAATCCCAGATTAAGGAATTATACTCTTCATACTGTTCTACAAAAATGTTTTCTAATTTTAAAAATCTTGTACATACAGAAGATTATACATAGCATAAATATACTGTTTAAATAAATAAATGCCTGTTTATGGAACCCAGCTTGTCCATCATGTTCCTCTTAGTTAAGTCACACACATGGCCCCAGAAGTAAGCCATTACCCAAACTTGTACTTACTATTCCTTTGCTTTACTTTATGGCATTATCACATACATACATGCTTTTAAGCAATGTGTTATTTAGTTTTGCTGTTTTTATTTTTATTTTTATGAAAGTGCAATCACTCTGAATATAGTCTTCGGAGATTGCTTCTTTCATTTAGCATTTTGGAGATGCAGCCTTATTAATGTATGTAGCTGTTTCTTTCTTTTCACTGTTGGAGTGTTCTATGGTTATGAGTATACCATAGTATATTTCATTTGGATTACTTCCACCATTTTACTATTACAAACAATGAAGCAGTGAATGTATTTTTTACAAATCTCCTGGTACACATATGCCTGAGTTTCTTCAGGGAATATAGTTTCGAGTGGGATTTCAGGATTTTAGCAATTCAAAGTGCTTGTACCGATTTATCCTCTCATCAACACGGTATGAAGTTTCCACTGCACGACATCTTTTCCAACACTTTCTATTATTGTTAAACTTTTAAATTTCTGCCAGACTGGTGGGAGTAATATAGTATTTTCATTGTGATTCAGTGTAAAATCATTGTGATTTTAATTTGCATTGCCCTGATTATGAATCACAGCAAATTTGTATGTAGAAAGAATTAAAATTTTTCTCTGAAACATTTGTTTTTAATTGGGTAGCAGTGACTTGATATTGTAGAATTATGGGTAAGCCACTTTTGCTCATAATTATTTAAGAGAAGGACTATCTTGTTTTGGTTAGGTGGTCCAGGAAAAGGAGAAAGTGTATTTTATTACTTTTAAAACTGGGAAGGTATAAATAGCATTTCTCAGCATGACAAGAACACAAACTGATAATGCCTAGAATCATATCTCTAACTTCCCATTTCCTTTATTCAAACACCCCATCAAACACACATCAAAACCTCTTTTAAAAATAAAGAGAGGAAGAAAATGAATAATTCCATTCAGATGCATGTGCACTTTTTTTAATAGACTTTATTTTTTAAAGCAGTTACAGGTTCACAGCAAAATTAATTGGAAGGAACAAAGATTACCCATACGGCTCTGTCCCCATTCATGCACAGTTTCCCTCACTATCAACATCTGCCACCAGAGTAGCTTATTTGTTACAATTGAGGAACCTACAGTTGACACAGCACGATCACCCAAAATCCATAGTTTACATTAGGGTTCATTCTTGGTGTTTAAGTCTATGACTTTGAACAAACACATAATGACATGTGTTGTATGCTTTTTATAATTTTTCAAATAGTTAAAATCATTTATGGAGCTTACAAATCTCTTGAAAGAGACAGTGTCTCTCTACTGTGGTAAAAATTATTTCTTATACAGAAAAAACACTATAGAAGGCATTAGAGTTTGTGTCTTTCACATAATCCCTCATTTTGGAAACCACTTGATTGTTCTTATACATATTAGCTGAATCTAACCCATATATTTTTTCAATGTTTTGTTTCTTCTTACTAAATATACTTAGATTTACATCTTTTTAGCTCAATTGTTGTGCTTCACCATGACATTACATTAATAAGGTTTATCTATTATTCTTATTTGTTATATTTCTTTTGTTTTTAGGGTTTAGTTGATTTTGATTTCATTGTCTAATCAGTTCAGCCAATGGCACTGCTTGAACAAAATTAGCTTTCTCTTGAGTTTTCTCTAGATAGATCTATCTAGAGGCTTTATGTTTTCTTTGCATCTTTTCTTCTTGGATGTTAATTAACCTTTGGTACTACAGACACAGATATTTTTCAGAGAAAAGTGGAAGTCAGACCATGCTGACATATGCATTATTTTATTAAAATGTACAACACATTGGGGTGTCTGGGTGGCTCAGTTGGGTAAGTGCCCAACTGTTGATTTTGGCTCAGGTCAAGGTCTCAAGATTGTGAAATCGAGCCCTGCAAAGGACTCCACACTCTGTGGGGAGTCTGCTTGAGATTCTTTCCCTTTCCCTCTGCCCCTCCCCCTGCTCTTTCTTGATCTTTCTCTCTTGCTCTCAAATAAATAAATAAATCTTAAAAAAAAATGTACAATGTGTTTACTTATCAAAATTACCTCATCAGTAAATTTTTTGATAGCCAGAAGAAACTACTGACATACTTGTTTTTTACTTATCCCAAATCACCAAAATGGTGGAAAGAAGCATTTTCAGCTGGAGTGAAAATAAAATCTCTAGAGCCATGCAGAAGAAAACCAGTAACACTTCATGGTCCTTTCTATTTCATGTGCTATTTTCTAACAAGTTGGGAAAACACTCAAAATAAACTTCAACTCTGAACCTTCTGAATTCTATATATATGCCAGTAAAGCCTGAGACTGACAAGAGTTTTTATTTTTTCCAAAATAGCTTGTAGAAAATCCAGATGCTAAAAATGTGCAGTGTTTGTTGGTGTAAAAATACACATCTCCTCACTAAGACTAGATCATGATCCTAATTGTAACATATACTATCCAATTTAAAATAATATATAATAAATTATTAAAAATATGTGAAGGTATACAACTTTACAAAGTAATCCAAAATGTTTTTTGAGTCACAAAAATCTGATTACAGAGATTGCTTTTAACATAGCTTTCTTAACTTTTGAGTTTTCATGTAAATATCCCTATTGACTTCATAGAAATCCTTGGCAATAATTCAAAGGTTGTTGTTAGAAGTAGCTACAAATTGATGATCCATAAAAGTGAGTTCAATAAAAACCTCTCAAATCACAATATAAACTAATGGAGATAAATAATCTGTGAACACAAATTTGACATTTTTGAAGTTCAGTAAGTCCAAATACCATGTAAGGGCAAAGCTGGATTAAATTCAATTATAGGTATATCTTGCCTTCAACATTAGTTTGAGTCTGAAAAGAGGCATAAACCCCATTTATATACATTAAGTCTTTGTTCAGCGGTGGGTGAATCTCACTTTTTGGTAATGTCCTATAGTTAAAGAAAGTTAAATGCCAACCTGCCATGACAAGGCCTGTGACACTCTTTGCCTCTCCGTCATTCCAGTTCGATCACATTGACCTTCTTTCTGTACTTTGAACTGGCTTTGTCATTCCACCCTCAGAACCACTGACCAATCCTTCCATACTTCCAGGAACAACATTTCTCCTGAACATTTCGGGGCATCCACCTCTTCCGACTGCTAAGATCTTGAACAACAGGGACCATCCTTCATGTTTGCGCCCCTTAAAATCTTCATTATTAAAACATAAGGCGCCAAGAACAAAGTTCTTGATTACTTCCAGGTTAGCATGATGGCAACCTGGCAACCTAAAAGTTCCTGACACATCTCCCAACTTCCCATTAAAATTCAACATTTAAAATACAGGGGTTTATGGTTTGAACAAAAAACCCACACTAGTGTGTAACTAAGTTAAATTCTGTAAAGTCCCATTATTCACTACTGCTATTACCAAATGCACAGGAATGTTCTCTTGTCACCCAGGGTTCCTCGATGATACACCAACCACTTGTGCTGCCACCTGTCAAAACTTTGGATGGCCCTGCTTTCAGGTATTGCATACATTACAAAAGAACATTCAGGACCTAAATAAAGGAACATGCTGGATTGCCAATGAAGTTGAGAATAATATGAACATGTTAACAATAGTAAGGAAGATTTCACATTAATTTATAACTTAATGTCAAATAACTCCTGAATAAAGGAAACCTTTGAAAGGTAGTCTAACAAAATGCTGGCAGAGATGGACATATGGACATCTGGCAACCTTATGAAGTTATTTCCTGGACCTCAGGGTAGGCATTTAGTCCCTAAATTCTTGTTCTCTTGGCCAGAGAACTAGGAGTGTTTAATTAATTTGAATGGGTCCAATCAGATTTATTAATATTAGTAATTTGGTAATATTTGCCACAAACATCACACACACACAAACATACATGTATGTACATACATGCACATATACAACGTCTGTGGTTAACCTTATTATAACTATATATATTTCTATATGGATTACATAGAAAACAAATTATGTTTAACATTATTAAATAATGGAGCTAGGTTGCTCATTTGAACTAAATAACTTTCCTCTGTAGAATTCTTTCTTTTCTGGATCATATAGTCACTGTCCTATTCCTATAAATGATTGTAAAACTTTCCCATAATTGGAACATAAGAGGATATCACTTATAAATAAGGGAACAGGAAAATGGGGGGTAAGCTGTTTTAAAGATTTAAGTTGTTCTAGAGACTATTTTTAGAACTCCCTGGCCAAACAGTTTCCATTTCAATCCTGGGCATTAATTACAAGCTTCAGGGGCACTGGTGCTTCCAAAAAGATTACTGTTGTAGACGGATATGTCTTTTAATTTATATTTAGCATTATACTTCCATGTCAATAACATATTAATTATACAATTATTATTACACCTCACAGCTCCCTTCCTGACAAAATTAAAGTAGTTTTCCTGTCCTAACTTATTTTTAGACTGCAAAGTATTTAACAATTCAATCATGTATCATCCTGATAAACTATAATGACATTAATGAAAAAGGCTCCTAAATAATTTTATCTTAAATTCAAAGCTAAGTGACATAATTCCTTCTTCTGATTTTTAAATTCCCAAGTCATTCTGCTGGACCCAAAAATAGACCCTCTATAATTATTCTTTTTCCCACAGCTTGTCTTTGGGAACTCATCATTGTTGTTCTATCCTTTCATGTGTCAGCTTCCTTTGCACGTTACATTTTATATGACTCACTGTTCCTTAGAGCAAGGTTTGAATGCTCAAAATGCCTACTTATATCTCACAGCTGGATTTTTCTTCCTGAGCTTTTTTATGTGAAGTGGAGACAGATCAATTTTCATCAGCCCCAATTTTTCTTAATGAAGACATGTAGGAAAGAGCATAAAATGGAAGAAAATTCACTTACCAGGCAAAAACTGATTTTGATCTCCACTGTCTATGTGTACCAGTCATCTTTATGTGGAAACTAAGAGGATTATACAATATTTTTTCTAAGTGTCTTTCCAACTTATAAATTTTAACATCTATTGGATACTGTGAAGGAGATAAATTGGAAGTGGCTTGAAAATGAAAGGTACAAATTTAAACTGTTTTCTCTTCATTAGATTGATCTCTGACTTGAGGAGTATTGCTAAGATTTTTTGGGAGAAGTTTAATAAAAGTTTAAATACTACTCTTCTGTAGTATTTAAAATTTTATTTTTAACAAGTACTGTTTAAAGTGAATATGTATTTAAATTCCAGCAGGAAAGATGTTGAAAAATTGTCTCTGGGGAGATTAAAAAATATAAATGAGAACCAGGATTGCAGTTTGCTATCATATTAGTTTGACTCATCTATGGTTTAATTTTAACCTAATGAAAGAGGCTCAGAACTGAAACTTAGAGAACTCCTAGTCTTAGCTCATCTACCATGGCTGTGGGATAGAAGGCAAAAAGTCTCCTCAACTCCTACTTTCCAAATCTGTAAAATGAGCAGGTTTCACTATAAGACTTCTCAAGTCCATTCAGCTCTGAGATTCTACAACCTCTGAATGTAACTATGCTGAATTAAAGATAGGAATGAGATAAAATATTATCTGAAGTTCTTTGTAACAAAGTGATTTGTAATAGTTCAATTCTAACTTTGAATATTTTTGCACTGCTTTATTTAATCATCAATTAGACTCAAAAACATAACCGATGGTTAAGAGGTGGGAAAGAAAAAAATAAGGAGAATATCTCTGGCTAGATTGAATTCTGGCAACAGAAGGATCTGTTTCTAGTTACCACTACTGTTTAATAATCTTACTAAAAATCCTTTTATGTCCCAACATAGCAACAATATTAATTTTTAAATTTCTAATAATTTGATAGTCCACTTTCACATTTAAATCTTAATCCAACTGAAATTGTATCTCAGATATACATTTTTCCTCCAAATTGATAGACAGGTTTATCAATACTTTTCATTAAGTAGTTAATCTTTTCTATTACTGATTTGAAATTTAACTAAATTGTTATATTCACTAAATTCTGTTAACAAAATTATTTTGAAGGGGTGCCTGGGTGGCTCAGTTGGTTGGGCTTCTGCCCTTGGCTCAGGTCATGATCCCAGGGTCCTGGGATCCAGCCCTATGTCTGGCTCCCTTCTCAGCGGGGAGCCTGCTTCCCCATCTCCCTCTGCCACTTCCTCTGCTTGTGCTCTCTCTCTCTCTGTCAAATAAATAAATAAAATCTTAAAAAAAAATATTTTGGATTCTAAGGTCCATTTGTCTTTTGCTATTTGTTCAGTTAAACTTTAGAATCATTCATTACCTTGAGCGTTACATTTATAGATTATCAGGGAGATAATTAAGCATCTTCATACATTTTAGTTTTTCATCTACTAATACAGTGTCTATTTATTAAAAATTATTTTATGCCTATAAGATAATTATATATATTTTCAAAATGGCTCTACCTGCAGAAATTGTAATAGTAATGCAATCAAGTAGGATTTTTATAAACATTCATTGACAGTCATTTGTACAGGAAATTTTTTTTAACAAAATTTCACCAAGGTGCATATTTTGTTGCATAGAAGATTTTGAACAAGGAAGACTTCACTGAAAATTTTCCTATGAAAAGATTAGAAGAGGTTTGCATAGTAGCCAGGCAATCACTTCAAAGGAAAGGGAAGACAACAAACATTGCAGTTTTTAAAATGTCCTGCTCATTCAGTGATTTATTTTCCACCTTTATCTTTCTGGCTTAATTACAATAAGATTAATTGGATCTGGAATAATGTGACTAGATACTACATATATCATATGGAAGTGAGCTGTTGGTGCTACTAGCAAAAGCAAATAAATACAAGGCTTTATAAGCAATGGGCTGGAACATACCAAAAAGGCTTATCTTTTGTTATTAAAGATAATAAATTATAAGGAGGTTAAGAAAGTTCCTTTGAACCTGGGGCTTATAATTCTATGTGTAATATCTTATATTTGTAATTTATGATCATTAACAAATAGCTTACTTCTATTTTTTGATAATGAAGTTTTATTTTTGATAATGAAGAACATTATACATTTGCAAAAACATAAGAGGTTGCCATTAGATGTGGGAAAACTCCCTAACCTTTTACCAAGATGCACCCACTCAGAAAATTAGCAGTCAGTTGAATAGAGAGTACCTATATTGAAGGGATTTTTATATTTGAAAAGGTTGTTCAGTGGGATAGACCCATACTTATGATTAAGAATTAGACCCTTCGGGCCAAATCTCAGCCAGAGTCCATCAGACTCCAGATGAATTCTACCAGTTGATGTGATGTGGATTTCCCCTATGTAGGAAAACCCCACATAAAAAGAAAGCACCTCCCCACCCCCCATAAAAAACACTGTTTGTTTTGCTTAGATATTTTATTATTCTTTCATTTGTCTTCCATCCTATCTCCCAGGCCTTCCTTAGGCTTCCTTTCAAAGCAACCTAGTTATCTTTTTATGGAATATATCGATTTTGACAAAATCTTTCCTTGTCCCAAAATATACAGACCTTAGCCTGAATGGGACAAAGTAAAATTATCAGTTGGATTGTGCCACTTCATTTATACCTATCAGGAGCTAGTTCTTAGCTTCCAGCCCGCTCTTCCTAAACTGCCCATATTTATATCTTTCTGAGATGATCTCATTTTCTGTTTATGTTATTCCATCAGTCACAATATACTTATAAATGCCAGATGGGGGGCGCCTGGGTGGCCCATTTGGTTAAGCATCTGTCTTCTGCTCAGATCATGATCCTGGGGTCCTGGGATTAGCCCAGCATCAGGCTCCCTGCTGAACTGGGAGCCTGCTTCTCCTTCTCCTTCTGCCCCTCCCCTCAGCTCATGCTCTCACTCTCTCTCTCTCTCTCAAATAAATAAACATTTAAAAATAAAAAAATAAGTGCCAGTTGGGCAAGCCTTCTACTTTGTGGCTTGGTCCATTAATGTACATTGTCCTGCTAATATATTTAATCATATATTATTTATAAGTCTATGAGTTATTAAAAAACTGAAAAACATTTACATGTATTGCTTCCTGTAAAAGTGAGCAAATTTCTACCTAAAATAGTGGAAAAATGCCTAGGACCTAGGAATTAAAAAAAGGATGTGGAATATGAGGAAAGCACAGTCATTTATTGTATTTTACAGGAAATTCCTGCTCTGGCTAAAAGTTCGTTGCTCTCTCAGACTGCTGTAGATATAAGACAAAGGAAAATCAACACAAACTGTTGTAGCTTTTAATATGCTGAATCTAAAGTTTGCCTGCCATGAGAAACAGACTGGATTTAAAGAAAACTAAAGCTATGATTCAATAAACTTGGCAAATAGACTGGTGACAATTAGTTAACTCAAGCCAGCCTTTAGACCTACTTTTATTTGTTTTAGGCTGTTTTATATGACCCCAAAACCACCAGATGAAAATTCAACACTTCTGTCAAATGTTTTGTCTACATGACACCAAAGAGTAAGAGAAATTTAAGTAACCAATAACTATCAATTCCCATTGTAAAGAATTACCTCGTT